TCTTTGGGATGAACCAGTCTTTGCCGTAATGTATTTTGGGGTTTAAAAGCCACTGGGACATTATGTTTAGAAAATAAACGTCTCAGTTTCTCTGATACTCCCTCAACATACGGAATGACCACTGGTCTGGGTCTGGGTTCCTCCTTTTCACCTGATGGCTGACTGGAGTCCTGTTTGGGTTTCTTCTCTGCTTTCAGGAAGGCCCAGTTAGGATATCCACATTGCTCTACACAAAGATACAGACTTACAATGATTAAAGAGACGTAACACCTGTGAAGAACGCAGATGGAACAGATCAGTCAGAAAAGGGAAACCAGGGAGTGTAGGAAAAAAATCATTTCATCTGGACCATTTTTTTTAAGTGAGAAACGTTTCGTCTTCTATCCGGAAGACTTCATCAGTCTACGGCCTGCCAACCAGATCTGTCCCATAAGTAGCCTTCCTTGCTGTGTTTCAAGCCTACTTCCTGTTGGAATCTCAGAAGCAGGCTTTTAACACTTGCAGAAGTCTAGATGAAATGATTTAACTGTTTTTTTTTTTTTTTGGTTATCTACCTGGATGATTGAGCCTACAAACCTTATTCTGAACCACTTTGGCCTTGGTGACCTCAGGCTGTTTCTGTGAGTAGCAAGTCGGCCTTCTGGCCTAAAACATTTGATTGTTAATCAGGATGATTGATGGTTTTGGACAGATGGGTCATTTTGCATGTGTTAAAAGCCTGCTTCTGAGATAACAGGAAGTTGGCTTGAAACACAGCAATGAAAGTTACTTATGGGACAGATCTGGTTGGCAGGCCACAGACTGATGAAGTCTTCCAGATGGAAGATGAAACATTTCTCCCTTAAAGAAACTTGTCCAGATTAAATGATTTAACCATTTTTCGTTATCTACCTGGATGATTGAGCCTACAAACCTTGTTCAGGGAGTGTAGGAATGAAAACCAGCCACCAGAGGGCACAGTCCCCACAAATCTGGCTCACGGGCCACTTGTGAAATATGTAATTTCCAGTTGCAGCAGCATATTTTATTGAAAAGCATGTATGTATATCATCAGTGTAGGAACCCAAGAGTCAAGGTAAAGGAGCAGTTCATCTATTTTGAAGTGGGCCTCTGTGGAACTGTTGTAAAACTCTTGTTGAAAAAGCTTCTTGAATGTCCTCAGTTTAGAGAAATGGAGCTCAAGTTCTGTAAGGTCTGCAAGCTAACAGTGGTTTGTTGCTTCTAA